ATTTTTAAAATATTCAGTTTTTCGATTTTCCAAGTTTTGAATATCTCAATTTTTCGATTTGCAATTTCATGAGTTTTCAAATTTCCATGTCTTTTTCGATTGTCAATTTTTCGCTTTGGTTTCTTATTTTCTTCATTCATTTTTACAACTTTTTGATTTTATAATGTTTTGTTTTTTCAATAATTCATTTTTTTTAATTTTTCGTTTGCAATTTTTCATGTTTTTGTTTCTTCAATTTTTCGATTTGCGATTATACAATTTTTCATTTTTCAGGTTTTTCATTTTTAAAATTTTCAGCCTTTTATTCTTCAAATTTTCGATTTGCAATTGTTTGTTTCGGTTTTTTATTTTCCTTATACTTTAAAATTTTTCGATTTTTCTGTGTTCGGAGTTTATAATTTTTTATTTTTTCAATTTCAGTGTTTTCAATTTCCATTTTACAATTTTTTGTTTCTTTCTCCAATTTTTCAGTTTCCAAATTTTCAATTTTCCAGTCTTTTGGTCCTTCGACTTTTCAATTTGTGATTTTTTAATTTTTCATTTTTCTTGTTTCTTCATGTTTAGATTTCAGAAATTTTCGTTTTAAAATTTCCCGAGTTTTCATTTTTAGATTTTTCAATTTTTCAATTTTTCCAACTTTTGAATGAAATGTAATATTTATTAGCGGTTAATATACTTTTACGTAGATTTATATATACCTAAAATTACTTATAATTATACAAATATTTAAAAGAAAAACAAACAAATGCTGAATTAATTTTAAATTTATAGATTTTGCAAATTTTCGATTTGCTGTTTCACGAGTTTCAATTTTCAATTTTTAAGTTTTTAGATTTTTTAATTTTTCATGTCTTCAATTTTCCGTTTCGGTTTTTATTTTTTCAATTTTTCGGTTTTAACTTTTAGATTTTTAAAATTCTTGTGCTTCCATTTTTAGATTTTTTTAGTTTAGTAATTTTTCAATTTTTCATTACTTCAATGTTTCATTTTCAATTTTTCAAATTTTCATTTTAAATATATGATAATCATAATAATAAGAAAAAAAAATGTACTTTTTCGATTTTGCGCTTTTAAAATTTTTCCATTTTTCAATTTGTTGCATTTTAAAACTTTTTCATTTATTCGACTTTTCAATTTCACCATTTTTATTTTTTCAATTTTTTGATACTCCAAGTTTTTATATTTCCAAATTTTCAATTTGACTTTTTTCCATCTTTCTTTTTTCTTGTAACTGCAATGTTTAGGTTTTGCAATTTCGTTTTAAAATTTCTCCAATTTTTATTTTAAAACTTCTCAGTTTTTCAATTTTTCAACTTTTGGATTATTCAATTTTTGTAGATTTGGCAATTTTTCGATTTTTCAGTTTTTCGTGTCTTCAATTTTTCGATTGCAGTTTTTACTTTCGGTTTTTTATTTTCTTTATTTTTTCAATTTTTCGCTTCTTCGATGTTCTGATTTTATAATTGTCCTTATTTTCAAGATAAAATTTTTCAAATTTTGGATTTTTCGATTTGAAATTTTTCAGTTTTCAATTTGTCGATTTTCCAACTTTTAGATTTTAAATTTTTCGTTTTTTCAGTTTTTACGATTTTAGAATTTTTCCATTTTTAAATTTTCAATTTTAGCATTCTTCAATATGTTATTTCTCAATTTTTTTTGTTTCTCCAATTTTTCGGCATGCAATTCTTCGAGTTTTCATTTTTAAATTCTTCAGTTATTCGATTTTACAACTAACAATTACAACAATTTTTGCGATTTTTCAATTTTTCATGTCTTCAATTTTTCGATTTGCAATATTTCGTTACGGTTTATTTTCTTTATTTTTTTTGAAATTTTTCGGTTTTCAATGTTTTGATTTTATAATTTTTCTTTTCAAGATAAAACTTCTCAGTTTTTGGATTTTTCGATTTGAAATTTTTCGGTTTTCAATTTGTCGATTTTTCAACTTTTAAATTTTTTAATTATTGGTCTTTCCAATAATTAAAAAATTTTCACTGTTTCATGATTTTTCAATTTTCGTTCCTTCTATTTTAATTCGCAATTTTTCTAGTTTAAATTTTAAGTATGTAATAATGATCATAAATTTCTAAATTTTTTCAATTTTACAATTATAGAATTTTTACATTTTTAAATTTTCAATTTTTCGATTCTTCAATTTTTCATTTCTTCGAATTTTTTTTTACCATTTCAAATTTTCCAAATTTTGGTTGTTGCAAACTTTAGATTTTGCAATTTTTCAATTTTCAGTTCTTCAATTTTTCATGTCTTCAATATACCGATTTGGAATTTTTCATTTCGGTTTTTTGTTTTCTTTATTTTCTCAAATTTTCAGTTTTTCGATGTTCTGATTGTATAATTTTTCTTCTTTCAATGTAAAATTTTTGATATTTTGGATTTTTTAATTTTTCGTGTTTTCAATATTAGGATTTTTCAGTTTCATGATTTTTCAATTTTTCGTTTCTCCGATGTTTAATTTGCAATTTTGCTAGTTTTCATTTTAAATATGTATTATACATAATACTTAAAAAATTTTCACTGTTTCAATTTTACTATTTTAGAATTTTTCCATTTTTCAATTTTTGCATTTCAAAACTTTTTCATTTATTCGTTTGTTTAATTTTCCATTTCTAATTTTTCAATTTTTCGATTCCTTATTTTTACAATTTTCCATTTTTTAGTGTACTGATTTTATAATTTTTTGTTTTTTTCAATTTCAATTTTTATAATTTTTCGTTTGCCAATTTTTCATTTTTCTTTTTTTTTTGTTTTTTCAATTATACGACAAGCAACTCTTCGAGTTTTCATTTTCAAAATTTTCGATACTTCAGTTTTTAGATTTTGCAATTTTTCGAACTGCATTTTACACGTTTTCAATTTTTCATTTTTCAATTTTTCATATTTTTAATCGTTTGATTTGGTATTTTTCAGTTTTCAATTTTTCGAATATTCAACATAGATATATTTTTCGTTTTTTAATTTCAGATACATATTTCAGTTTAACGATTTTCCAATTTTTCGTTTCTCCAATTTTTGATTTGCAGTTTTCCGTGCTTTCAATGTTACAGTTTTTCGAATTTACATTTAGACGATTCTATAATTTTTCGATTTTACAATTTTTGAGTTTTCCAAATTTTCGATTCGATTCGTTTTTTCTTTTTCCACTTTTTCACTTGATTAATTTTTTCATTTTTAATTTTCTGGATTTATAGTTTTGCAATGTTTCAATTTTCGGTTTCTTCAGTTCTTCGATTTGCAACTTTTCAATTTTCCACTTTTTCGAATTTGCAATTTTTTCCGAGTTTTTAGTTTTTCGAGTTTTAAGTCTTCGAATCAAAAAAATTGAAGATTTTCAAAATCGTAAAATCAAAAATGGAAAAACGAAAAAGTATAAAACGAAAAATCTAAAAATTCGAAATCGAGAACCTAAAAAATTGAAGCGAAAAATTTGAAAATCGAATATTAAAAATTGAGAAACCCTAGAATTCGATTTTTGATTTGCAGTTTTCCGTGCTTTCAATGTTACAGTTTTACGAATTTACATTTAGACGATTCTATAATTTTTCGATTTTACAATTTTTGAGTTTTCCAAATTTTCGATTCGATTCGTTTTTTCTTTTTCCACTTTTTCGCTTGATTAATTTTTTTCATTGTTAATTTTCTGGATTTATAGTTTTGCAATGTTTCAATTTTCGGTTTCTTCAGTTCTTCCATTTGCAATTTTTCGATTTTCCACTTTTTCGAATTTGCAATTTTTTCCGAGTTTTTAGTTTTTCGAGTTTTAAGTCTTCGAATCAAAAAAATTGAAGATTTTCAAAATCTTAAAATCAAAAATGGAATAACGAAAAAGTATAAAACGAAAAATCTAAAAATTCGAAATCGAGAACCTAAAAAATTGAAGCGAAAAATTTGAAAATCGAATATTAAAAATTGAGAAACCTAAAATTCGAAAAAGCTCAAATTCGAAAAAAACGGAATAGGTATGTATTGTAAAATTGAAGTATGGAAAATTATAGAAATCGAAAATCGGGCAATTGGAAAACCAAAAACTACAAAATTGAAAAATTTAAAAACTGGAAAATGCAAGAACCAAAAATTTGAAAAATTGAATAAACGAAAAACTCTAAAAACGAAAGAAACAATGAAAAAACGAAGAACTATGATATAAAATCTAGAAGATGAGAATTAAAAAATCGGGAAAATGAAAAATCGATAAGTTAAAAATTGATAAAATGAAAATTCCAAAAATGAAAAAATGTAATATCGAAAAATTGTAAAATTAAAAAGTTGCAAATCTAAAAATTGAAGAAACGAAAAATTGCAAAATTTGGAAACATTGAGAAAACGAAAAATTATGAAACCGAAACAATGAAAAATTGATCGAAAGTAAATAAAACCAGATTTTTCGAAATATAATAAGATATGATTTTGCAAATTTTGTGATGACGTCATCAACATTTTTGCTACGACACGTATGTCAGTGTAGTATATATTTTCAAAGTGATTCTTGAGTTACTGAATAAAAAAAATGACATGACGTCATCAATTTTTGGGAGAGGACAAACGAATAAATTTTGATTAACGATTTACCATGAAAACGGTTGCAAGATTTTCAATTAAAAAAATATCTTTTTTTAAATTTTGGAGTTGAAGTCTTCTCATTGGGAGTGGGGATTATTAGCCAAATTTTGGTTAGGATTTTACCATCTGCATGATATTCCTAATATACACATACACACAAAATTTGACAACAATCGGTCCAATAGTTTCGGAGATTAGAGGGTCTAATAAAAATTGATATAGACGACGTGATATTAAATAGATAAACAGAAATTGTTTAGGTACATGTTTATCACTTATTATTGAAGCTTTTAAATTTTAAAATATCTTGATACTCAGATGAGTAAGCAGTTTAAGCAGTTTATAAAACAAAAAAAAAACACTTTCACGCGGAGTCTGTAACCTCGTGTTTGCAATTTGTGGACAACTGGTTGATCACATACCTTTCAGTGCCGGACATATCCTCTTCCAAATGGTCAGACAACCGCTTCGATGGAATTGGCCCAGCGCCAGTTCCATGTAAAAGAGTGGCAGACCTCCAAATATCAGCATTATGGTGTACGGTATTAAAAAAGCACCTGAAAGGATAATAGACGCATTAGAATATCCTACTTAATCAGTTCGTCACAATCGATAAATTCCTAGTACTGGGCTAATAGCTGGAAATGTTTTGCATGTGCTAAACTAAATTTCGTCGCTTTATAAAATGAATGTTAATATTTTGATTTTTGGTAATTTATTTGTCGGCGCCGATTCAAGTGACACAAGTGAAATATTTATTTTCGAAATTCGGGAAGGTGAGCCGCTTTTTGATAGTCACTTGTCGTTATAATTTTTAATAATTTTAATAATTCGGTGAAACATGTTCGTCAATTGCTTTTTTATGTAAATGTCTGATTTATTTTTAAGAGCGGACGTGGACGTGATGTTGGTTAATTTGCATTTGAAACTATTAGATATGTGTACATTTTGAAAAGTAACAACGACACAATTTTGCATTGTGATTTAATTGTATTTACTTATTTAGGCGATTTTTTTTCTTATTCTTAAACAAGCGACAAAATACTCTGTGTTCCTTTTCTACAAAAAGATAACATTAAAATTATTTTTCAGTAGGTAAATTCATCCAGTATGTTTACGAGGCTATTTTCGGTTACTTTCATCGAATTAATTGGCATGTGTTTTTCTTTTCGAATTCATGATGTATTTTAAATGTGTTTAAATTTCCGCATATTTTACATTTTCCGGTTTGTATTTTATAAATTGTTTGTAAAAAGCGGAGCTCTCTCGAATTTTGTAGGTTTGAAAAATATAGTAATAGTTTTCTCAAATGTTATCGTATTAACTATTTAATATTATTATCTAACCAATGAAATGCGTTTTTTCTCGATAAAATAGCACCACGTTTATCTTAAAACAATAAAATACGTTTACTTTTATTTTGTTTACACTATTAGGTTTTATACAATATTTTCATTAAGTAGGTAGTAATCATTACGATTTATTTTTGTGTGAGCCATCTGTCCAAAAAAGGAAGAATAATAACGTCCAAACGTCATTTCTAGGGTTTAATAACAGAAATATTATAGTTTTCGACCTTTAGAACTCATTTTCGGCCCCATTTTTTCAAAAACTTCTGCCTTTATTTCAGCGAAATATGGCAACTTTTGGAGATCAAAAAAAATATTTTCTAACAAAATATTTTTAAAATCTTGCTCCGGGACCATAATAGATCTATGTATATTCCAGATTTATTTATGGACTTTTAGATATTTTTCTCAAAACTTCAGTTTTTTAGTACGACTTTTTTTATGAAAATTTCAACATTTTTTCGACCATTTTTGAAGAGATTTTTGTAGGTTTCAGCCTCCAGGAGTTATTTTCGGCCTCATTTCTTCATAAACTTCTGCCATTTTTGCAAAATCTAAAAGAAAATGTTTTTAACTAAATTTGGAAAATGGTCGAAAAACAGTTGAAAATTTCAGTTCTGCGGATTTGCGGATTATAGTGTCTGAAGATTATGCTGTTCTGAGCATTTGAGAATTGTAGTGCTCTGAGGATTTGAAGATTATGATGTTCTGAGTATTTGAGAATTGTGGTGTTCTGAGGACTTGAGTATAATGGTGTTCTGAGGATTTGAGGATTGTTGTGTTCTGGGGATTTGAGTATTTTGGCGTTCTGACGACTTGAGAATTCTAGCATCTGAGGACTATGTTGTTTTCAAGATTTAAGGATTACGATGCCCTGAGGATTTGAGGATTTTGGTGTTCTGAGGATTTGAGGATTTTGGTGTTCTCAGGATTGGGAATGATGCTATTATGAGCATTTGAGGATTGTAGTGTTCTGAGGATTTGAGGATTTTGGTGTTCTGAGGAATTGAGGATTGTGGTACTCTGAGGATTTGAAGATTGTGGTGTTCTGAAAATTTTAAAATGTAAAAAATTGAAAAATCGAAAACTATAAAATTTAAAAAATCGGAAAACTGAAGAATAAAAAAAGCAAGAAATCGAAAAATTCCCAACAATGAAAAGTTAAAAAATCAAGAAATCGAGAAATCCAAAATCGAACAGTCGAAAAATTTTAAAAATCGGGAAACCGGAATGTCGAGGAAGGGAAAGTTCGAAATACGTATGCAAAAATTAAAAAATCGAAAAATCAAAAAAATGAAAAACTGAAAAATCGAAATATAGAAAAATTAACAAATGAAAACCTTGAGAAAACGAAACATCAGAAGATCGAGGAATCGAGATATTGAAAAGTCGAGGAGTCGAAAAACCGAAAAATCGAAATAGCCGAAAATCTGAAAATTAAAAAATCGAAAAACTGAAAAATAAAAAACGAGAAATCGATAAATCTAAAATGTCGAAAAATTGAAAAAATTCATAGCTCAGATATCGAAAAATTGATTCATAATTGATAAATCTAAAGTCTGAAAAATTGAAATCTCGGTAAATCATGATTATCATGAAAATGAAAATTTGAAAAACTGAGAAATTGAAAAATTTAAAAACTGAAAAATATAAATAAAATCGAGAAATCGAATAGTATAAAATTTAAAAAGCGAAAAATGCAGAAATGGAAAAATTCCCAAAAATGAAAAGATGAAAAATCGAGAAATCGAAAAATCAAACAGTCGAAAAATTTTAAAACACGGAAAACCGAAATATCGGTATAAATGGAAAGTTCGAAATACATATCGAAAAATTGAAAAATCGTAAAACGAACAATTTTTATATTCGAAAAATTAAAAAATGGATAAACTGAAAAATTGAAAAAACGGAAAATCGAGAAATCTAAAAATCGAAATATTGATAAGTTAAAAATTTAAAACGTTGAGAGAATGAAAAGAAATCGAGGAATCGAAAAATTGAAAAACCGAAATAGCCGAAAATCTGAAAATTAAAAATTGGAGAATTAAAAAATCGAAAAACTGAAAACTCAAAAAAAGAGAAATCGAAAAATCTAAAATTTAAAAACTAGGAAAATTAAAATAGCGAAAAATTAAACATCGAAGAAAAATTTAATCGAAAAACTGAAAAATCCCAAAAGCAAAAATTAGAATAACTGAAGTACTGAAAAATTGTAAACTCGAAAATTCGAAACACCTAAAAATCGGGAAACTAACAATCGGAAAGTCGAAACATCGAAATCTCGATAAATTGAGAAATCGAAAAATGTAAAATTTAAAAAATCCAAAAATTAAAATACCGAAAAATTGAAGAATTGAAAAATTTAAAATATCGGAAAATTAAAAATTCGGAGAATTTGAGAATTATGCTGCTCTGAGCATCTGAGGATTGTGGTGTTCTGAAGATTTGAGGAGTACGGTGTTCTGAGGATTTGAGGATTATGCTGAAAAATTTAAAATCTGAAAAATTGAAAAATCGAAAACTGTAAAATTTAAACAGTCAGAAAACTGAAGAATAAAAAAATCAAGAAATCGAAAAATTCCCAAAATTGAAAAGCTAAAAAATTAATTCGAGAAATCCAAAATCGAACAGTCGAAAAATTTTAAAAATCGGGAAACCGAAATGTCGAGAAATGGAAAGTTCGAAATACGTATGCTAAAATGAAAAAATCGTAAAAATGAAAAATTGAAAAATCGAAAAACGTAAAATTTAAAAAATCGAAAAATTAAAAGAATGAAAAAACTGAAAAATTGGGAAATCTAAAAATCGAAATATAGAAAAATTAACAAATGAAAACATTGAGAAAACGAAAACATCAGAAGATCGAGGAATCGAGCTATTGAAAAGTCGAGGAGTCGAAAAACCGAAAAATCGAAATAGCCGAAAATCTGAAAATTAAAAAATCAAAAAACTGAAAAATAAAAAAACGAGAAATCGATAAATCTAAAATACCGAAAAATTGAAAAATCCCATAGCTCAGATATTGAAAAATTGATTCATAATTGGTAAATCTAAAAACTGAAAAATTGAAATCTCGATAAATCATGATTATGATGAAAATGAAAATTTGAAAAACTGAGAAATTGAAAAATTTAAAAACTGAAAAATAAAAATAAAATCGAGAAATCAAATAATCAAAAATTAAAAAAACGAAAAATACAGAAATGGAAAGATTCCCAAAAATGAAAAGATGAAAAATTGAGAAATCGAAAAATCGAGAAATCGAAAAATCGAGAAATCGAAAAATCAAACAGTCGTAAAATTTTAAAAATCGGAAAACCAAAATATCGATATAAATGGAAAGTTCGAAATACATATCGAAAAATTAAAAAATCGTAAAACGAAAAATTTTTAAATTCGAAAAATTAAAAAATTGATAAACTGAAAAATCGAAAAATCGAGAAATCTAAAAATCGAAATATTGAAAAATTAAAAATTTAATTTTTAATGTTGAGAAAACTCGAGGAGTCGAAAAACCGCAAAATCAAAGAGTCGAAAATCTGAAAATTAAAAATTGGAGAATTAAAAAATCGAAAAACTGAAAACTCAAAAAAAGAGAAACCGAAAAATCTAAAATTTAAAAAATAGGATAATTAAAATACCGAAAACTTAAATATCGAAAAAAAAATTTAGTCGAAAAACTGAAAAATCCCAAAACTAAAAATTCGAATAACTAAACAACTGAAAAATTGTAAACTCGAAAATTCGAAACATCGAAATCTCGATAAATTGAGAAATCGAAAAATGTAAAATTTAAAAAATCCAAAAATTAATATATCGAAAAATTGAAGAATATAAAAATCTAAAATATCCGAAAATTAAAAAATCGGAGAATTTGAGGATTATGATGAAAAATTTAAAATATGAAAAACTGAAAAATCGAAAACTGTAAAATTTTAAAAATCGGAAAACTGAAGGATAAAAAATTCGAGAAATCGAAAAATTCCCAAAAATGAAAAGTGAAAAAATTAAGAAATCGAGAAGTCCAAAATCGAACAGTCGAAAAATTTTAAAAATCGGGAAACCGAAATGTCGAGAAATGGAAAGTTCGAAATACGTATTGAAAAATTAAAAATGCGTAATAACGACAAATTAGAAAATCGAAAATTTAAAAAATTGAAAAACTGAAAAATCGAGAAATCTAAAAATCGAAATATAGAAAAATTAAC